GGTCAATTTTAGTTCTCGATATTTAAAAACAATCTTAGTTCTCGATTCTTGAAACATTGGCGTGTTTAAAAAACTTGCAAGGTGCCATAAGAACTTTAAAGAATTAGGAATTTGGAAAATACTCTAAACATGCAGGATTTCACACCGAAAGTTCTAGCTTCTAATGGAAACCGAGACAACTTAAAAGGTAGATACATTTCGAAAAAAATCACTTAAGCAGCCCAGCTAGTATTGAATTTCAAATGCAAGACTCTCCTTACCTCTCCTGTTGAAAGTGTATTGCATTCGGATCGGGATTTCTCCTTCTTAGCCATCGTTTGAACCTCTTTTGCTTTGTGAACTTTGGATGACCTATCTTGAATTGGCCTGTGTGAACAACGTCCTTCCATTTATAGGTATATTCGATCAACTCGACAGTGAAGTAAAAGCATAGCCTTTGCTTAGCAAAGACTAAGCCAGTCTCATCCACAGAGATCTGCTCAGAGTGCAAAGAAAGATGTTGAGAGCAGTTGCTGCCACCTGGCCATTCAAAAATTGGTTGTCCAGGATGCAAACAAGGTGGTTTGGAATATGGAACCCAGTGAATGTTTGTGGGATGTGGAATACAGAAGTGGCCTTGAGAATACTGTCCATCTACGGTAGTTACCAGTAACAAAAGTAGAAGTGCTAAGACCATAATTAGCTAATGGCTGTGAGGGAGAGAGTGCTGTAGAGCAGCCAGTCCTTATTTGGACATGCCTCGGAAAGGGGCGTGACTTTGGCTGACCAGCAGAGGGATTAGACGGCAGGTGGCCGCCCCGGAGGCACAGAGCATTCCGAGAGGATTAGAGTAGGCGGAGTTGGTGAAAAGCGGTAAATCATCTCAAGCGATCCGGGATCCAACTTAATAGAAGTGACTAATATTGAAGATTGTTGTTAAACTTAGAAAAATTAGGAGAAAATGAAGGAAACTTTAGCGACTTTAGATACTTTGACTTAAGGGCACAAACCGAAAATTTTAGTCAACAGGTTTATCCAAAAAGGGCCCTACGTTGAAGCGTCGCTAGGGGATTACTGCTGATAAAGAATTTAAAAGTTGACTAGGATTGACTGCCTTAAGAAAAT